CAAGGAGGACTTCCAAGAGACCCCAAGAGGCGTCCAGGCAGCCTCTGGCCCCCGACCAAGGGTGTGGGACATGGGCCGCAGGCCGCTGCCTATATCCCCTGCCCTGCATCTTTGCAATGCGGGGTGGGTGGGGAACCCACGACCTCCTCCTCCTCCTCCTCCTCCTCCTCCTCCTCCTGCTCCTCCTCCTGCTCCTCCTCCTCCGCCCACCAACCCCCGAAGCCAGACCCTCTGGGCCCTTGGCCCCCCGGGGCCCCCCTGGCTTCACTGGCAGAGGGCCCCCCGAAACTTCCGGGCCTCCACGGTGCCCCTGCTGGGCCCAGCCGGCAGGCCCAGAGCGGCCAGGAGGGCGGCCACACGGCCCCGCGAGAGCCCCGAGCGGCCCCCAAAGACAGCCACCAGGCGCCCGACGACGGCCCAAAGACCACCCTCGAAACCCAAATTCAGTCGTTGTCAGTATCGCCTTCGGTGGATCTCCTTATCGGGCCACGAAGCGCGTGAAGAATGTGCCGAAATGGGGCAGGGCGGAGCTCCCTATGGGGCCACGAAACGTGTGAGGGGTGTGTCAAAATGGGGCGGCGCCGCCATGCGGACTGCGCCACTGGGACCTTCGGTGGAGCTCCCCATGGGGCCACGAAACGAGTGAGGGGTGTGCCAAAATGGGGCGGCGCCGCCATGCGGACTGCGCCACTGAGAGCTTAGGTGGAGCTCCCTATGGGGACGTGTGAGGGGTGTGCCAAAAGACTGAGCCACTTGGACCTTCGGTGGAGCTCCCTATTCTTCAAAACGAGGACCCAACACCACAGTATGGTTGGAAAAAAACATAGAGTCCCATAACATGCTGTACGATTTGTGAATATTCGATGTTTCGATCTTCAGGGCGTTCGAGAAGAGGCTCCGAAGATCGTCCCAAAGTGATCTTAAAGGGCTCGCAGACAGTCCAGGAAAGCTCCAGAACGGCCCGACAGGGCCTCAAGATGGCCGGAAGAGAGCCCCATGACGGCTCAAGATGGCCCGAAGACGCCCCCCGAAGCACTTCAAATTGTAAACTGGTCGTTGAGGGAGACCGTGGTTCGCAGCTAGGTGGCCTGAGGAAGGCCCCAGAGGCCCCAAAAAGGCACAAGGAGGCCTTGAGGAGCTCTCAAGGAGCCCTCAAAAGGATTTCACGAGGCCCCCAGCGGGCTTTCCAAGGAGGAATCTCCGCCAAAATAACTTAGGAGGACGGGGAAAGGTTCGCAAGGTAGAACGAGAACGAGGAACATGAATAGGAAGAGGACACATCACGGAAGGAGAAGGAACGAGACAATATACCAACAACGGCCGAAACGGCAACAACGAGTTACCGCTGTTTTATTTGCGCACCTTTCTCTTAGCCCACCCGCATGCCAAAATTGAAAGACCAACCTGCATGGCTCGAAACGCCGATGCAGTCTTGTATACAGATGTATGCATGTGAATTCGATGTGGCCGAGAAGCCAACAACGGCTTGTCCGATTGATGGTGTCCTGCCAAGTCGCACCATGACGCAGAAAGAGACTGACACGGTGGAGGAATTGGATTATCGGAAACGGCTCCCGCATACGTCCCAGCTGAAACACCCAAAGAACAAAGCTCCAGCTGTCCAACATGATGGTGGGAGAGTGGGCCAGGTTCGGGGATCTTCTGACCCAGGTCAATCCAAGTCAATCAGGCCATGCAAGATCCTGCAAAATCCTGCAGGATCCTGCACCCCAACCCGGGTCAATGCAACCCCGGCTCTGAAGGATCATGCAAGACCCTGCAAGGTCTGGCGCTCTGACTGACCCCCATTTGCATCGACCCCCGTCTCTTAAGCGCCGACGGGTGCTCTTCCAACAAGTATCAGTTTCCAATTCCTTCGCGGCGCTCACAGCATACCGCCGTCAGAACCGGTGGAGGAGAACGAGGAGGGACGAGGGGGGAGAGAATGGGCAGAGGAGGGGGCAGGGAGGGGCAGAGGAGGCGGGAGGAGAGAGAGAGAGAGAGAGTAGAGGAGGACGAACAACGCAGCATTTAACACGCAAGCAAACGAGTCGCAAGACAGGGGGGAGAGTAGAGGAGCAAAGGGGAGGGGGAAAGGGGACGGGAAGGCGTGAGGACTAGGGAGACCACAAGACGCCCATGCCGCTACTCCCCAGACCTCTCCCTGGGTGCGTTCTGACCAGGATGTTTTGAGGAGCATCCAGGCGTGGGGCGACGAGAGCTCTCCAGGGCGGGCAGCGGCATCGGCACCTTCTCCTCCTCTGGACGGCGGGGCGGAGGCCCCCCTCCCCGTCCCGCCCTCCCCTCTGCCCCCCCCCCTCGACTGCACGCAGGAGTGCCCCTGGTCAAGAGTGGCCCTCTCTTGCGCGGCTTTCCGGTGGCCGCGAGGAGGCCAACCATGGGCGCGCAAGCCGCTGCTACGGCTTCGCGTTCGGCGATCGGGGGGCCCCAATGGGCAAAGGTCACAGACGCAGAGCCATCGGCACCACAGGGACAGAGCCACTGGGACCAGTCTCGGGGCAACTCCAGCAATGGACCGATTGCCCGTTGCCTCCCAGCAAGATGGGCTCCGCGGACGGGTGGGTCACCCGGCGAAGGGTCACACTTGCGTGTAGGGTCACACTCCCTCCTGCTCCCGCCTCCTCCTCCTCCTCCTCCTCCTCCTCCTCCTCCTCCTCCTCCTCCTCCTCCTCCTCCTCCTCCTCCTGTGTGTAGTCGACCTCCGCCCGCCCCCCGCTGTCCGCGGCGCCTGGGCCGACGTCGCTGGCCGGCCTCGGCGCGCCGCCGCGGCGGGGCTCCGTGCGCTTGCCCCACGGCACGCGGCTGGCGGCCGACCACTCCTCGGGGCGCGCGCGGCCACGAGAGGGGGGGGGGGGCAGGGGAGGCGGCGAGCGGGGGGACGACGGCGTGGCTGATGCTGATGACAATGCTGGTGCTGATGAGGCTGCTGCCGATGAAGGATGATGGTGATGGTGGTGATGATGATGCTGACGATGATGATGGTGGTGACCATGATGGTGGCGACGATGATGATACGTAGTGATGATGCTGTTGATGATGATGATGCTGCTGCTGCTGATGATGATGATGATGCTGATGGTGATGATGATTGCAGTGATGATGGTGGTGATGATGACGATGATGATGGTGGTGATAATGACGATAATGATAATGATGCTGATGCTGATGATGATTATTAGGAGGATAACGATGATGATGTTGGTGGTGGTGATGAT